CAAGGGAACACCCCGACTCCAAGAGGACTTGAACCTCGACAGACCTGTCGGTTCCAGCATCCCTGAAGGCTCCCTTCGTAAAGGAAAACTCTCAGCGCTTCAGGCAGCTGTAGGGCTTTAGGGTCAGGGTTTAGGTTCCAAGGTTCTGGGTTTAGGGTCTATAAACCCTAAACCCTAAACCCTAAACCCTATAGGGTTTAGGGCTGCCCTGCAGCTCCCTGCACAACTGTTAGCTTTGACCTTGCCATGCCGGAGGAGGCTGATCAGCTTCTGGTTGTGAGACAAGGGCTTTCAGGGTTTAGCATCGAACTTGATTAGGGTTTTAGGGTTTAGGGTTTAGGGTTTAGGGACCATACGGAATCTGAGGGGGTCCCCCCTAAGGGTCCCGATGATCTAACTCAAGAACTCCAGCTTCCCGTGTCTGAAGACCCCCGAACTCTCAGATCCCCGCGGGCCACAAGCTCCATGTCGTTGTCTAAATCCAACCTCAAGTTCCCAAGTTTAGGGTTTAGGGTTCACAGCGTCTCTCTGTCAGTGTTTCGGGTTTTGGTTTTGGGGCTGAGGTTCCCTCATGGCTTCATGAAACACTTCTGGCGAGGGAACCCTGCTCAAACCCACAACCCGACTGTACATCCGAGAACTCAACCCTAAACCCTAAACCCCTAAACCCAACTTATTATTACTAATATCAATTCGACAAAGGGGCTCCCTTGATGCTCAAGAGTGTCATGGACCACTCTCTTAGGAGATGATGCTAGAAGCCGGTAAAACTTCTTAAAACCCTACTTGGAGATTCATGGGTAGTTATAAGCAGGGTTATAAGTAGGTTAACTATAGTTATAACCTAGATTAGGGGACGTATAACTCCACTTATAAGTACCCATGAACCTCCAAGTACACCCAAAATCCCTGCCTAAACCTTGAGCCCCAAACCCTCAACTGAAGCCCTCGACACCCGTGGCTGTGCCTTTCAGAATTTCAACTCCAAAGCCCACTTAAGCCCGGAAGCTGAAAAACGAGAAAGAAGCGGTTCATGGTTTGGGGAGTTTAAGGTTTGGGGTTTTAGGGTTTAGGGCTTAGAGTTTAGGGCTTTAGGGCTTTAGGGTTTTAGGGTTTAGGGCTTAGGGCTTGCGTCCTAAGACCTAGGATTGGGGTCTAGGTTGGGGTTTGGGGCTTTGAGTTTATGCATGCATGCATTGCGGACTGTCCCGAAGCAATCACTTGAGGACTAACTACAGCACTGCGCCTCCAGTGTGCCTGACGGTGGGCACGTTTCTGCGGATGGAGGATCTCATGGGGGCGTTCAAGATGTCAGAATGTCAGGGTTTAGGGTTTAGGTTGGCTTCAAGCCCGCTCCGAATCCGAAACCAACACAAGCTCACCCACACTCACCCCCGAATCGCGCAAACTATCCACAAGCCCTAAACCCTAAACCCTAAACCCTAAACCCTAAACCCTAAAGCAAACTTTCCGCAAGCCTTGCTTTGAGGTGTTCGGGGCCTTGGGGCATAGAGCGTTAAGGGGTTGGGCCATGGGTCCGCTTAGGATCCTCTACTCCAGGCTTCAACACCAGGGTTTCGGGTTTTGGGTTTTGGGTTTTGGGTTCAGGGTTTTAGGGTTTCGGGTTTCGGGTTTAGGGTTTAGGGTTTAGGGTTTCAGGGTCTAGGGTTTTAGGGTTTAGGGTTTAGGGTTTAGGGTCTAGGGGTTAGGGTTTAGGGTCTATAATCGCTTCAACTCTAAATCTCTGAACCCCGTAACCCAATTTCCTGAGAAAGTCCACTTAATGGATTCGGGGGCCAAGTACTGGTGTCCCCAAGGTAACTACATCAAACTTACTTTTGTATCCCTCGGGAGCTAAACCCCCAAAATCCCTACAAATCCAGAGCCCTTCTAAAATCCTTCTGAAACTCATATCAAACCCCCTTTTCAACCTCAAAAAGACGCTTCTCGAACCCTTCTGAAATCCTTACCTGAAGCCCCAAACCCTAAATCCCAAACCCCTAAACCCTAAACCCCTAAACCCCTAAACCCCTAAACCCCTAAACCCTAAACCCTAAACCCCTAAACCCTAAACCCTGAACCCCCAAACCCCCTTGCCTTGAAGCCTGAAGCTCGCGGAGGGCCCTAGGGTTTAGGCTTTAGGGTTTAGGGTTTAGGGTTTAGGGTTTAGGGTTAGGGTTTAGGGTTGAAGCCAGAAGCTCTAGGGATCAGGCTCCAGGTCCAGCCTCTTGCAGTTGCTCTCGGCCATGCTACAGACCTGGCATTTCGGGTTGAGGGTTCAGGTTGCAGGCGTTCGGGTTGAGAGTGAGATTTAGGATTTAGGATTTAGGGTTTAGGGTTTAGGGTTTAGGGTTTAGGGCTTGGGGTTTAGGATTTAGGGCCACTAAGTTTAGGGTTTAGGGTCAGGGCTTGGGGTTTAGGGTTTAGGGCCACAGGGTTTAGGGTTGAGGGTCCGGGCTTCGGGTTTAGGGTTTAGGACCACAGGGATTAGGATTTAGGGTTTAGGGTTTTGAGATCGGTAGGGATCTTATAAGGGTTTAGGCTTAGCTTTCGGTTCTGACAGACCTCAGACCTCAAACCCTCAGCGCTCTCTGTACAAGCTGATGGCTTTAACCCGAAATGCCTGAGGTAGTATAGGGGCTTAATAATTAGAATAGGGTTTTGGGGCCCATTATACTATAATTATAGTAAGGAACCCAAAACAGTATAGGTAATGATTCAGGCCCCTGCATTATTGAAATGGTGGCATTTTCAGGCCTTAGGAATGCCTGGTTTACTCCCCAGAAAGAAAAACTGGAGGATGGAATCTTAACAATAGGGTTTAGGGTTTAGGGCTTTAGGGTTTAGGGTTTAGGGTTTAGGGTTTAGGGTTTAGGGTTTAGGGTTTAGGGTTTAGGGTTTAGGGTTTAGGTAGTTACAAGGCTATAAGGCTCCTTTAAAGAATCTATAAGGGAGCTCTATAAGGGCTCTAAAGGGGTCGTATAAGGGGTCTATGAGGGGTCATGCTTGGAGGTTCATGGGTAGTTATAAGTGGAGTTCTAAGTCTCCTAATCTAGGTGATAACTATAGTTACCCTACTTATCACCCTACTTATAACTACCCATGAACCTCCAAGTAGAATTCCTAAGATTACACCCTAAGCCCTAAAACCCCTAGGCCCTGAGCCCTAAACCTTGGGAGCTGTGGGGTTTTAAGGGTTCAGGACTTGGGGCGAACCCTGAAAAGCTGCCGGAACCCCGAAGTTCCGAAAACCCTGGAACCCTACATAAACCCTCTGACCCCTTTTTAGGGTTTAGGGTTTAGGGTTTAGGGTTTAGGGTTTAGGGTTTAGGGTTTGTGGTGAGCCTTATAATTTAGGGTTTCCTGCGAATTAAAACCTAGCATAGGGTCGAAAATCGTTTAGGATCTGATTTCCGTTTAAGCTTATGGGGTTGTGGGGTTGAGCAAAGCTCTGGTCTTGAATGATATTGCAAAAAGCGCCCGATTCGTTGGACCCCGCTGCTAGGCTCCCAGCACCACAGCCTAGGTCCCGAAAAGTTCAATCGTGCACAGCGCCGCCGCATCGTAGTTCTCTACCTGCTGCTAAGACATCTTGCTGGCATCGCTTCGGCGAGTGTCAGAGTTGTATTAGTTACAAATTAGCTGACCTAGCAAGCAAGGCTATAAGTCCCTTAATGGGGAGTTGTAAGTGCCTACAACTGAAGTTCCACTACTTAGAGCCCTACCGACTCAGCCCCCTAATCTGTTTCGCACAGTCTTCATTTTGGCTTAGCGGTCTTCTCGAGTTTTGGATTCCACCTGATGGTGATAGCAACTATGGCCGCGATGAAGGCAAGGATGATGTGCAGGGTTTAGGGTTTAGGGTTTAGGGTGCAGGGTTGAGGGTTTAGGGCCTAGGGTTTAGGGTTTAGGGTTTTAGGGTTGAGGGTTGAGGGTTTGGGCTCAGGGATCGGTGTTTTGGTAGCCATGGTGGTGATGCTGTGAGGGTTTCGTGTTATGCGGCCAGACTGCATGCCCCGGTCCAATAGAAAGTGGCATTGCTGGGTCTAAACCGGGGCCTGGACATGTTGATGCTTCTACTAGGTTTTTCCTGCAAGAGCTAGTTTGTTGCTAGGTTTTTTCTTGAAAAGTTGAGTTTACAGGGGCGGCAGGGTCAAGTTCCTGCATCAACTATCCTGAAACGCCTGTGTCGCACCATTTAGGCCCTGGCCCTTCGAAAAAGCAGGCTTCACTGCCTTAGATATCCTGAAGTACTTGGAGGTTCAGGGGAAGTTATAAGTAGGGTTATAAGTAGGCTATAGTTATAACCTATATTAGGGGACTTATAACTCCACTTTTAACGACCCATGAACCTCCAAGTACCCCAAACCCTAAACCCTCAACCCTAAAACCATGCAATCACAGAATACTTCTGGCTATGGATCGTGCAGGGCTTTGTCCATACACCATATACCTCTTGAAAAAAACACCCCCTAAACCCGTTCAGGGGGGTTAAGGTTTGGGTTCGGGGTTCGAAAGAGGGGTTCTTTAGGGTTCCATACACCCTAAACCCTAAACCGTTTTAATGGTAGGGTTTTGTGTTGCTAGAGGCCTAGGTTCGGGGCCTCGGAGGTTTGGGGCTCAAGGATTTAGGATGTAATGTAGTGGCCTGAACAATTACCTATAACATTTTTGGGGATTCCCCATTGTAATTACAGTGTTATTCACTCCAAAACCTTATTCTAATTATTAAGGCTTCTATCTTAGGGTTTACGGTGAGAGGGGGCTCTGTGGTTTCCGCTGGTTCTAAGCACAAACAGGCAGAAGGCGCGTTTTTTTCACGACGGGTCGTTTTCCAGAAGCGCCTTCTTCCTTGCGTTCTTGGGAGTCAGGAGCTTAGGGATCTAAGGTTGAGTTTAGGGTTTAGGGTTGAGGGTTACGATGTCGGATGTGTGCATGTGTGTGTGTGTAAACTTTTTCTACTGTAAGCGTACATCCAGAGATACGCCTGTACAATAGGTCTAGGACTGCAGGAATCTGGGCCCGAGCCTCTCGTCCTTCAGGGCCTGGAACAAAAGACCTTCCGGCGAGCACCGCCAGAGAGGCGGAGCGCAGGCAGCAGAGGCGCTCAAGACCCTCGCGGCCCGGGCTCGCGGCCAGCGATACCTCGTGCTGAGGGGTTCTAAAAGAAGTGCAATGAATCCCTTCTCCATTCTTGGTTAGGGTTTGGGTTTCGGGGTTGGGGTTGGGTTTACGATTTAGGGTTCAAGGCTGAACCCCTGCTTATGTATGAATGTTCTGGATGCGGATGAGGACGGAGAAGCGTCGGACAGCCAATCCACATCTCAAGCAAATGCATGAACTGGATTGAAAAGTGAGAGACCATGATTCCAGTTGGAAACGATTCCAGTCGTAAACATGACTCATAAACATGATACGGTTGATGATATAAATCCTGCATTACCCATAATAAGGAATATACCACAATTCCCATAGTTTAGGAACCTTCAGGTAATGCACGATGTATATCATCAACAATAGTACTAATTACCCTAAACCCTAAACCCTAAACCCTAAATCCTGAACCCTAAACCCTAGACCCTAAACCCTAAACCCTAAACCCTACCCTAAACCCTAAACCACTAACCCCTTCGGCTCAGCCACCGCCAAGCGCCTGGCGGTCGCCCGCGTCGTTGCAGCGCGCAGATGCGGAGGTTGCCGAGCTGCACCTTTGCCTCGAAAGGGTTGCCTGAGCTCAAGGTTTAGGGTTTAGGGTT